TATCTTTTTTTATATTATTATTATTATTATTTATTATTTGTTTTATTTTTACTTCATCTTCTTTATTATTTCTATATTTTATTAATTTATTATTTTATTATTATTTTATTTTGTTGATTAATATTATTACTTTTCTATATATTATTACTATTATTATATTATTAAAATATTTTTTAACTTATTATAATAATCTTTATTATTATCATTGTTGTTTATTATTATTATTTTATTATTATTATTTTATTATTATATTATTTTGTTGTTGCTGTTGTTACTTTTATTGTTATTATTATTAGTGTTATTATTATTACTGCTATACTGGATGTATACTGTCTAGTATACTCTTGTCTACTAGAAAATTCACTCCTGTATACTAAAAAATGTACCCTGATATGCTAGAATATATACCCTGGTATTCTAGAAAATACAATCTTTTATACTAGAAAATATACCCTGGTATACTAGAAAATATACCCTGGTATAATATAAAATATACCCTGGTATACTAGAAAATATACCCTGGTATGCTAGGAAAAATACCTTTATTTACTACAAAATATACCCTGGTATACTACAAAATATACCCTGGTATACTACAAAATATTCCCTGGTGTACTAGAAAATATATCCTGGTATACTAGAAAATCGTGCTCTGGTTTACTAGTGAAACTTACTTTAGTATACTTGAAAATATTCTTTACTAGTATACCTTACTAGTATACTTTACTAGTATACCTTGCTAATATACTTTACTAGGATACCTTACTAGCATACTTTACTAGTATACCTTAGTAGTATACCTTACTAGTACACTTTACTAGTATACCTTACTAGTATATCTTACATGTGTATGTACTCACCTAGTTGTACTCACCTAGTTGAGGTTGCGGGGGTCGAGTCCGAGCTCCTGGCCCCGCCTCTTCACTGATCACTACTAGGTCACTCTCCCTGAGCCGTGAGCTTTATCATACCTCTGCTTAAAGCTATGTATGGATCCTGCCTCCACTACATCGCTTCCCAAACTATTCCACTTACTGACTACTCTGTGGCTGAAGAAATACTTCCTAACATCCCTGTGATTCATCTGTGTCTTCAGCTTCCAACTGTGTCCCCTTGTTACTGTGTCCAATCTCTGGAACATCCTGTCTTTGTCCACCTTGTCAATTCCTCTCAGTATTTTGTATGTCGTTATCATGTCCCCCTTATCTCTCCTGTCCTCCAGTGTCGTCAAGTTGATTTCCCTTAACCTCTCCTCGTAGGACATACCTCTTAGCTCTGGGACTAGTCTTGTTGCAAACCTTTGCACTTTCTCTAGTTTCTTTACGTGCTCGGCTAGGTGTGGGTTCCAAACTGGTGCCGCATACTCCAATATGGGCCTAACGTACACGGTGTACAGGGTCCTGAATGATTCCTTATTAAGATGTCGGAATGCTGTTCTGAGGTTTGCCAGGCGCCCATATGCTGCAGCAGTTATTTGGTTGATGTGCGCTTCAGGAGATGTGCCTGGTGTTATACTCACCCCAAGATCTTTTTCCTTGAGTGAGGTTTGTAGTCTCTGGCCCCCTAGACTGTACTCCGTCTGCGGTCTTCTTTGCCCTTCCCCAATCTTCATGACTTTGCACTTGGTGGGATTGAACTCCAGGAGCCAATTGCTGGATCAGGTCTGCAGCCTGTCCAGATCCCTTTGTAGTTCTTCCTGGTCTTCGATCGAGTGAATTCTTCTCATCAACTTCACGTCATCTGCAAACAGGGACACCTCAGAGTCTATTCCTTCCGTCATGTCGTTCACAAATACCAGAAACAGCACTGGTCCTAGGATAGACTCCTGTGGGACCCCGCTGGTCACAGGTGCCCACTCTGACACCTCGCCACGTACCATGACTCGCTGCTGTCTTCCTGACAAGTATTCCCTGATCCATTGTAGTGCCTTCCCTGTTATCCCTGCTTGGTCCTCCAGTTTTTGCACCAGTCTCTTGTGTGGAACTGTGTCAAACGCCTTCTTGCAGTCCAAGAAAATGCAATCCACCCACCCCTCTCTCTCTCTTGTCTTACTACTGTCACCATGTCATAGAACTCTGTGTGTGTGTGTGTGTGTGTGTGTGTGTGTGTGTGTGGTACTCACTTATTTGTGGTTGCATGGGTCGAGTCACAGCTTCTCTCTGTGTGTTCGTGTGTATGTATGTTTTGCGTGTGTGTATGTTTTTTTGCGTGTGTACGCTTTAATGTGTGCGTGTATATCTTTGTGTGTGCAAGTGCGTGTACTCTCCGAGTTATACTTGCAGAGGGGTCGAGTCCACTGTCCCTCTCTGACATTTTCTATCCTCTTTTGTTTTGTGACAGTGATGGTGACGACGTGTGGCGCCACTGGCCATGAAGGTCCTACACCTGAGGAGTGCCGTAACGAGTACCGTCACAGAGTACCGCCAGTGCCAGAGGCACTCACCTCCAACTCCCTCCCTGGTACTCAGATCTGGAAAGTGCCCTATGACGGCTATTACACGTGAGTACTGCTGCTTCTGTATGTCACTTTCCTGGGTGGGAGTGTCAGTACCTTCCCTTATTGTTGTCGCCTGTATCCCAAAGTACGTTCCTTGTTATTGCTGCCTGTATTCCAGAGTACGTTCCTTGTTACTGTTGCCTGTATTCCAGAGTATGTTCCTTGTTATTGCTGCATGTATCCCAGAGTACAATCCTTGTTATTCCTGCCTGTACCCCAGAGTACGTAACCTTGTTATTCCTGCCTGTATCCCAGAGTACAATCCTTGTTATTCCTGCCTGTATCCCAGAGTACAATCCTTGTTATTCCTGCCTGTATCCCAGAGTACAATCCTTGTTATTCCTGCCTGTATCCCAGAGTACAATCCTTGTTATTCCTGACTGTATCCCAGAGTACGTAACCTTGTAATTCCTGCCTGTGTCCCAGAGTACGTAACCTTGTTATTCCTGCTTGTATCCCAGAGTACAACCCTTGTTATTTCTGCCTGTATCCCAGAGTACATAACCTTGTTATTCCTGCTTGTATCCCAGAGTACAATCCTTGTTATTCCTGCCTGTATCCCAGAGTACAATCCTTGTTATTCCTGCCTGTATCCCAGAGTACAATCCTTGTTATTCCTGCCTGTATCCCAGTGTACGTAACCTTGTTATTCCTGCCTGTATCTCAGAGTACATAACCTTGTTATTCCTGCCTGTATCCCAGAGTACGTAACCTTGTTATTCCTGCCTGTATCCCAGAGTACGTAACCTTGTTATTCCTGCCTGTATCCCAGAGTACGTAACCTTGTTATTCCTGCCTGTACCCCAGAGTACGTAACCTTGTTATTCCTGCCTGTATCCCAGAGTACAATCCTTGTTATTCCTGCCTGTACCCCAGAGTACGTAACCTTGTTATTCCTGCCTGTACCCCAGAGTACGTAACCTTGTTATTCCTGCCTGTATCTCAGAGTACGTAACCTTGTTGTTCCTGCCTGTATCCCAGAGTACGTAACCTTGTTATTCCTGCCTGTATCCAAGAGTACGTAACCTTGTTATTCCTCCCTGTACCCAAGAGTACGTAACCTTGTTATTCCTGCCTGTATCCCAGAGTACGTAACCTTGTTATTCCTGCCTGTATCCCAGAGTACAATCCTTGTTATTCCTGCCTGTATCCCAGAGTACGTAACCTTGTTATTCCTGCCTGTATCCCAGAGTACAATCCTTGTTATTCCTGCCTGTATCCCAGAGTACGTAACCTTGTTATTCCTGCCTGTATCCCAGAGTACGTGACCTTGTTATTCCTGCCTGTATCCCAGAGTACGTAACCTTGTTATTCCTGCCTGTATCCCAGAGTACAATCCTTGTTATTCCTGCCTGTACCCCAGAGTACGTAATCTTGTTATTCCTGCTTATACCCCAGAGTACGTTCCCTGTTACTGCTGCACTTCTCTCGAAGTGTTCCACTCCCTCTAACACTCTTTCTCTCATTTCTTGTTCCTCTTCTACTTCTCCTCCGGCTCTTCCTCCTCACCATCATCATCTTTCTGCTCCCCATCCTCCTCCTGCTTCTCCTTTATTGATTCGCCTCCATTTCCTCCTCTTCCTACCCCGCCTTCCCTTCCTCTTCCTCCTCCTGCTCCTCCTCCTCCTTCCTCTCCCTCTCCTCCTCCTTCCCTCCTTCTTCTTCTCTTACTCCTCCTCACAGTCAGTGTTACCTTGAAGTTGACCTTCAGAGGTCAACCTCGTAACCTTCCTAAGTAAACCAAGACATCCTACCCTCCTCTAGACAGCTCATCATTATTATTATTATATATTTATATATATATATATATATATATATATATATATATATATATATATATATATAATATATATATATATATATATATTATATACATATATATTATATATTATATATATATTATAATATATATATATATATATATATATATATATATATATATATACAATATATTTTTTTTATTATCACACTGGCCGATTCCCACCAAGGTAGGATGGCCCGAAAAAGAAAAACTTTCACCATCATTCACTCCATCACTGTCTTGCCAGAAGGGTGCTTTACACTACAGTTTTTAAACTGCAAAAAACATTAACACCCCTCCTTCAGAGTGCAGGCACTGTACTTCCCATCTCCAGGACTCAAGTCCGGCCTGCCGGTTTCCCTGAACCCCTTCATAAATGTTACCCTGTTCACACTCCAACAGCACGTCAAGTATTAAAAACTATTTGTCTCCATTCACTCCTATCAAACACGCTCACGCAAGTCTGCTGGAAGTCCAAGCCCCTCGCACACAAAACCTCCTTTACCCCCTCCCTCCAACCTTTCCTAGGCCGACCCCTACCCCGCCTTCCTTCCACTACAGACTGATACACTCTGAAGTCACTCTGTTTCCCTCCATTCTCTCTACAGTCCGAACCACCTCAACAACCCTTCCTCAGCCCTCTGGACAACAGTTTTGGTAATCCCGCACCTCCTCCTAACTTCCAAACTACGAATTCTCTGCATTATATTCACACCACACATTGCCCTCAGACATGACATCTCCACTGCCTCCAGCCTTCTCCTCGCTGCAACATTCATCACCCATGCTTCACACCCATATAAGAGCGGTTGGTAAAACTATACTCTCATACATTCCCCTCTTTGCCTCCAAGGACAAAGTTCTTTGTCTCCACAGACTCCTAAGTGCACCACTCACACTTTTCCCCTCATCAATTCTATGATTCACCTCGTCTTTCATAGACCCATCCGCTGACACGTCCACTCCCAAATATCTGAATACATTCACCTCCTCCATACTCTCTCCCTCCAATCTGATATCCAATCTTTCATCACCTAATCTTTTTGTTATCCTCATAACTTTACTCTTTCCTGTATTCACTTTTAATTTTCTTCTTTTGCACACCCTACCAATTTCATCCACCAATCTCTGTAACTTCTCTTCAGAATCTCCCAAGAGCACAGTGTCATCAGCAAAGAGCAACTTTGACAACTCCCACTTTATGTGTGATTCTTTATCTTTAACTCCACGCCTCTTGCCAAGACCCTCGCATTTACTTCTCTTACAACCCCATCTATAAATATATTAAACAACCACGGTGACATCACACATCCTTGTCTAAGGCCTACTTTTACTGGGAAATAATTTCCCCTCTTTCACTACATACTCTAACCTGAGCCTCGCTATCCTCGTAAAAACTCTTCACTGCTTTCAGTAACCTACCTCCTACACCATACACCTGCAACATCTGCCACATTGCCCTCTATCCACCCTGTCATACGCCTTTTCCAAATCCATAAATGCCACAAAGACCTCTTTAGCCTTATCTAAATACTGTTCACTTATATGTTTCACTGTAAACACCTGGTCCACACACCCCTAGCTTCCTAAAGCCTCCTTGTTCATCTGCTATCCTATTCTCCGTCTTACTCTTAATTCTTTCAATAATAACTCTACCATACACTTTGCCAGGTATACTCAACAGACTTATCCCCTATAATTTTTGCACTCTCTTTTGTCCCCTTTGCCTTTATACAAAAGGAACTATGCATGCTCTCTGCCAATCCCTAGGTACCTTACCCTCTTCCATACATTTATTAAATAATTGCACCAACCCCTCCAAAACTTATCCCCAAACCCGCTTTTAACATTTCTATCTTTATCCCATCAATCCGGGGTGCCTAAACCCCCTTTCATTTTACCTACTGCCTCACAACTTCCCCCACACTCACAACTGGCTCTTTCCCCCTCCTACAAGATGTTATTCCTCCTTGTCCTATACCGAAATCACAACTTCCCCACTTCATCAACATTTAACAATTCCTCAAATATTCCCTCCATCTTCCCCAAAAACCTCTAACTCTCCTTTTAATAATTCTCCTCCCCTTTTTTTTAACTGAAAAAACCCATTTGTTCCTAGGTTTCCCTTTAAACTTATTAATCCACCCAAAACTTTTTCTTATTTTCAAAAAAAATTTGCTGATAACATTCCCCCCACTCTTCATTTGTTTTCCCCTCCTTGATAAATTTTATTTTAAAAAAAACTTCTCATTAACGCTAACTTTTTCCCCCTTATCCCTCTCTTTACTTTCATATTCCCCAAATCGCCCTCTTCCCCCCCGGGCACCCACTTTCCGGTAACCAAAATTTTGTAAACCCACTCAAAAAACCACTACTTTTTTTAAACCTACCCCTTTCCTCTTCGACCCTTCCCGTATGCTCTCATTCCCCAATCTATCCCCCAAATAGTTTTTAATATCTTCCCCTAAATCCCTTTCCCTCTTTTAGTTTAAAAACCCTTTTCCCCTCTCTCTTCCCTGATGCTTTTTTCCCCTTTGTACCCCATTTTTCCTTTTACTCTCAGTGAAACTACAACAAAAAGTGTTCTGTTATATCTGGGGCCCCCTCTTTTTAAAACATGTACATCCTGAAGTCTACTCACGTTTTTTAAAATCTCCCAAATTTCCATAATCCAAAAAAACTATGTCATTTCCCCCCTACTTTCTTTATTTTGGGTGAAATTTAAATTACTTATGTATATATATTTTATATTATATATATATATATATATATATATATATTTTTAATAAATATAAAATTATATTATATTTTATATATATATATATATTTATATATATTTTTATATATATATAATCTATTATATATATATATATTTAATATATATTTTTTATATTTTAAAATTACATCATATCTTTTTATACTTTATTTATATAATATAATATTATATATATTATATTTATATATTTTATATAAATATATATATTTATATTATATAAATATATGTATGAGAGATAGTTTTCCCAAACCGCTCTTATAGGGGGTTTGTGAAGATGGGTGATGAATGTTTGCAGCGAGGGAGAAGGTGGGGGGGAGTGGAGATCATGTTTTGAGGGAAATGTGAGGGGGAAATATAATGCAGAGAATTCTTTATTTTTGGAATTTAGAAGGGGGTGGGGGGATTACCAAAACTTTTGGCCAGGGG